CCACGCTTACCACGCCAGTGGTAAATAGTCACTGCCATTATTTACTGGCCATCCCAACATTTCTTAGTTCCTCAGTATTGCATAAAACTTTAGCCCAAAAGGACAAATCATAGGTAATATGGACTGCCTTATAAAATTAAAGTATAAAATGTTCCTGTATACCACTTTTGCATTGGTCTAAGGGTGTATCTTTTAACATAAAAACATTAGGGGGTCGAAAGGAGCAGAATTTTCAAAAACTGACATTAATCTCAGGGTGGGCTACCTTGAACAAAGCATTGTCTACTGGGCTATAATAAATATATCCTGGGGTCAATAGTTCAGAGGGCATTATCTACTGGGCTATAATAAATGTATCCTGGGGTCAATAGTTCAGAGGGCATTATCTACTGGGCTATAATAAATATATCTTGGGGTTAATAGTTCAGAGGGCATTATCTACTGGGCTGTAATAAATATATCCTGGGGTCAATAGTTCAGAGGGCATTATCTACTGGGCTATAATAAATTTATCATGGGGTCAATAGTTCAGAGGGCATTATCTACTGGGCTATAATAAATATATCTTGGGGTTAATAGTTCAGAGGGCATTATCTACTGGGCTATAATAAATATAACTTGAAGTTAATAGTTCAGAGGGCATTATCTCCCACAGTATAACACAATTATGATCGAGCAAAACAGAGTGATTATCATCACACAATAGAGAGAGACTGCTTCATGTATTAAAACAAATCACAAAATTTTACAAAATAAGAACCACAAATTGTGCAAGATTTCTGGCCTTGACCCTCTCTGAACACAAATACACGATTGGGTTATGGTTTTGATTAAAAAATTAGCAGCCTGTTTCTAATCATTTCAACCTCGACGACCATTCAATAGACGATCTCACCCTAATCCCAATTGAGCGTATAGAAATTGACTTGCCCGAAGATGAAACTACCAAATTCCGTCAATCTAGGGAAGCCCATTGGATTGAGACATTGAATACAGCAAGACCTATAGGACTAAATATTCATCATAATGTAGGCATAGCACCCTTTGTTGTCCCGTTTAATACAACCAGCAATCGAGCAAGCAAGATAGTTTATGCCCACTATAAGAGCCTTCAAGAGAAATTCCCCCATATCTATAAGCAGAAAATGATAGTTGCATATTCAAAAAATAAGAACTTAAATGATAATATTGTTCATAGTAAACTAAAAACAATCAGTACAATCATAACAGATATAGTATACTTCTCTTTTATTTTCTCTACTTATTTTTTCTAATTTCAGATCAGAATAAGAACAGAAGAAAACCCAATATCAAGACCCTTAATCCTAATTTCTAAATAAAGTGTCTGCTCCACCCTAGGCCTGTACATTTGGGAGAATCAAACCCTCCCTTCCCCGAAATCAAAGCATTGTATAAATGTAGGCCTAACATACGTAACGTTACACATTTTAGATTTTGCAGTAAATTAATTTCTAAGTTTCCATGTGTGATGTTAGATTGTTTTAAGAATAGGAATGAATGTTAGATAGAGAAAATATCATTAGATTGCAGCACAAGATCTTAATTTGTCCATTCTGGAAAGAAATATTTTTTTTATGTTACTTAATATTTTAGGTAATAAAATTGAAAATTTTCACGATTTTCTTATATTTTTAGTTTTTTTTTTATTTATCACAGATGTAACGATATATATATAGTTAAATCTTATCTATAATTTTTGTCAAGATATTCAATACAACTTTTCATGAGTTTGATTTCAAAAAATTAAACTGACAGCATGATCGGAAGACTTGAGGAAAAATATGAATTTTCAACATTGTCAAAGAGGGCATCAGAAAAAAAATAAAACATGCATGTTTATCTTCAACAAAAACAACTCAAACACTTGAAAAAAATATTTTTGAAATATGGCAATTTTTTTTATTTCTGCATGGAATCGCTCTTTGGATCTTTTGGTCATTCCAATAAGTGTCTTAGCTTTCTTAATTTTTCCGGCAGATAGATGTGTGCCAAGATCTAACGATCCAAACCACAAAACCAAACCCGAAATTGAAAACAACATAATATTGGCAAAACATTGGTAGGTGCTAATGAACTTTAAGTATATCAATTTGAGGCGAGTAAGTATTTCATAATGAAAAGTGGTATCAGGTGTCTAGAAGAGTAAGCATACCTTGCCACACACCCGGCATTGTTGCTTAATATTACATACAAAATTGGAAGGTACCAAACGATGCGAGCCGCCAAACGATACATTGGTAGCAGAAAATTAACTATTCATATGAGGATCTGTATCAATTAAAATTGAGCAAATATTTCATTTTGACAAGTGGTATCAGGTGTTTAGAAGAGTAAGCATACCCTGCTTGAAGCCACACCCGTCATCAAGGTCGGTTTATTCACTGTTTTTTTTAAGGTTTTTTGGGGTTTCATCTTTCTCTGTTGGATTAAGTACAATCATATTAAAAAAAGATTCTATTTTCGTTCAGATTTTTTTAAACATATATTGTATCCATTGTAAGTTTTCTTCAGCAGTCCCGTTCTAATGACGATATTTTTAATCTGGAGTGTCATGTAAGACTTGTTTCCATTTGGCAGCCGATATCACTTTCGTTATTGTTATCGAAAAACGAGTCCTACTAAATCTAATCAAAATTAGATTACAATTTCGGATCTTTTTAGTTTTCTGATAGTCGTATTCTCCATGGTAATCTAACAAGTCCATACCAAAAGTCCGGCTCAAAGGAAGTGTTTTTAACCAATCAAAGCGTGTCATGTAGAACCCGTTTCTTGCAGGAATAAAGAATTGTGGGATATCGAAACTTCAAGTTAAGACCAACCTCATTGGGTTTCGCTTCCAACAATTCCTTAATTTATCAAGAAACGGGTTTTACATGACTTAAAAAGATACGAAAAGGTATCCGCCGTCCCTATAATACTTACTAACATTGCTGTTTCATAATTTTTACGCTTATTTTATTTTTTGCAGCTATTCTATACGTCTAGAAATGTACAACAGTTTAATGGAAGAATACATATTATTATGCTTTAAGTGTTTTATTCTAACTATAGTCCATTATCGCTGTAAAGCCAAAAGTCACAAAAATGTAAATAAAATCTTTTTGTAAAGATAAGTTAATATAAAATACAAAAATACCGCCCCTCCCCCTCTTATAGATAGTCTACAAAACAACATAAAATAATATCAAAAGGCTATCAAAATAAAAAGCATGAGCGGGTCTGTTATATTTTCTTCCTTCTTTTTTGGCACATCGCGATTCTACTTCTTATTATTTATTTGTTATACTCTTGTATACTTTTGTGGGTTTTTCAGAATAGATTTTTGATAATGAGTTAACAATACTAATTAAAATCAAATAAAAGCGGAAACCATTAATTAAATAACGGTACAGAACGAAGATTTTTTCTTTTCTTTCGAATCTGAAGAAAAAAAAATTAAGAAAATATTACTTAATTATTAAAGAGATCGATCAAGGTAAAAAAATCGTCGTTTAAGTATCTGAGAGGTCCCACTCGTATACAATTACAATAATCGAAATGCCTTGATCAAATCTAATTGCTGATGTGGGTCTCAGACCGAGCAGAAGCCATACTAACAAAATTGCCAATGTTTCAGTACCACAAATAATCTGAGCACTGACTGAATTTAAAATTGATTTTAATGATTGACCAATTAGATGACTGGAACATTAAAATCGTCTTAAGTTAAGTTTTCAAGAATAAGGACCCTGTTATAGTCAATTAAGTTAATGTACAATCGTCCTCAGGCTTTTGTTAAGATATCACTTGTAAAATTGTATATATATAAGCATAATGTAATGTATTAAAAATTATGATAATTGCTGTACAATATTGACCAAATTCAAATTTTTTGGACGATTTGACACTGGACCAAAATACTCATGGCGTCATGTTATGCATATCCATGTTCTTAATGACCATAATGTTGCGTATATTTTAGATCTGACTAGTAAAAATGAATTATGAAATGAATAATGATAAACAAAATTAAACTGTCTAATTTGGGTTTTTTAAATGTAATCAACAGGGGGCTTTAGTTTAATTAGTCAGATTGAGAATGCAACAAGACACCTTTATCTAAATATATTAATTAATTAGACATAGTTCTTGCAGATCACTGAATTCTGAATCAAATTAAACTCCGTGTTATTGTAGTCTTCAGTTTATTGCAAATTGCAAACAAAGGTAATGGCAATCTGAGTGTCATTATAGTGTTCTTTCTCAATCGATAGACGAAATTGAAACATGTCTATATTACACATCTAATTAATCAAATTATTCAATAATCAATTATTCTTACCTTTTTTTGATTTTGATTTTGAGTCATCTTTTTTATTCTCAGCCGAGGTTTCAGCTTTAGTCGCTGGCGTCTCATTTGAAACAGTGGCCGGTTTTGCTGAGGTATCTGTATCTTTAGTAATAAAATGATAAGCTTAGAATTAAAACTTTTAAAAAAGGTGAGGCGTTTAGTTTTAAGTATTTCACGCTCACAAAAACTGATAAAAAAAAACCCGGGTGATTCCTTTACTTGTTTTCAACAGAAAGCATTAGTTTTATGAGTTACCGGTACCGGTAAAAGGAAAATGTGGCCCTTTTAATCCTTATTTTTCTTACCTTGTTTAGATTTTGTTTCATCTTTTTTATTTTCATCCGATGTTTCATTTTTAGTAACTGGTTTCTCATTTGAAATGGTTACCGGATTTGCCAGGGTATCTTCATCTTTGACTTTGGCTTCTTCCACAGAAGGTTTTGCATTATCTTGTGCCTCCGAAGTTTGTTGTGTTGATTCTTCTTGAGATTGAGGATCAGTTTTAGGAGCTTCGGCTTCTGTTATTGGAACTGTAGATGGATCCGGCAATTGTTCCTTCTGTGGCACTTGCTCCGGCTCGGTCTCTTTTTCGATTTTCGCCTCTTTATCATGTGTAGGCTCTGATGTCGCTTCATTGCCTTTATGACCAGAATCAGATTCTCCAGTTTTCTCGGATTCTCCAGTTTTCTCGGATTCTCCTGTTTTCTCGGATCCTCCTGTTTTCTCAGATTCTCCTGTTTTGTCGGATTCTCCTGTTTTCTCAGAATCTCCCGTTTTTTCGGATTCTCCCGTTTTCTCGGATTCTCCTGTTTTCTCGAATTCTCCTGTTTTCTCAGATTCTCCTGTATTCTCGGATTCTACTGTTTTCTCGGATTCTCCAGTTATTGTGGTTTCCGGTTTCTCTACTGGTTCATTGGTTTGATCAGTATTTGCGACTGGCTGTTCATCCGACATCTTATTCTGTAAAATATATTAAGTATATAGTTCGGGTACAAAGATGTTGATACTGGAGAAATTTAAAGAGTTGATGAAGTCAAAGATGAAGAGCCGCGTATGCTATAGTATAAGAGATGGCGATGCTTGATGATAATGGCGATGATTATGACGTGATAGCAATTGTGTTTGTATCAAGTCATAGTGTTCATGGTGATAATAATGACGTTAAAAATCTTCAAAGGCCAAGTCAAGACTTTCCTGAAGATCAATCCAGAAAAAAATAACAAAGGCCTACTTTGATTTTTTAAGCCCTATTTATCGTTGTTAGACTGTTGCAGAATCTATGTAATCTTTGTGTATGATTTGTAACAGTCAATAAAATTATATAAGCAACTGTTTGATGGCATGATTAAAACTAAAAAGATAGCTAGCCAGGCAGCTGTCAGAAATGATACAATCTTTATTAACTAAATAACAAATTTTCTCATATCAAAAATCATCATAAGATTAATTAAACAAAATATTGTCAAATTCGATATCAGTCAGATACAAACTGTAACCTCTGTCGTGTCTACAAGGCAAATTTGACGCGTTTTTACTAAGTCAAGGGCAATAACTCCAAAAACCGTCTGATTTAAATGATATTCGAACTTGACCGAGATTTCACCATCATATATATGCATACCTTGTTTCATCAAGATCGGATAAAAAATATGTAGCCTCCATCGTGTTTAACTAAATGTCAAGGGCAATAACTCCAAAACCATTCATTCGATTTTGATCACTTTCGAACTTGACCTAGGTTTTATCAATATATACATGCATACCAAGTTTCATCAAGATCGGATAACAAATGTTGCCTCTAATGTCTTAACAAGCAATGTGGGCGGACGGACGAAGGTGTGGAATTCTCAGAGCGCCAGTGGGGTTCAGTCCCAAATGACACCTAAGTCCACCTTAACCTGTAAACTGTGATATGGAATTTAGCGACTAAACGATAGTGCTGCTTATTTTGTTTTAGTGTTTCATGATCAACACAGTAGCTGTACAAATATTAATTTACATGAAATTCGAAATTTGAACGGAATTATTACATACTTAGACATACTATTGATTATGGTATATTTCCTTGTTAATGTTTTTATTATATGATAAGAATGAAGTTTCTTTTCATGTACATACTTTTGGTAATTAGTCCTTATTGCTGCGTGTACCTTTTCAATCATATTATGTGTCAACAAATGCAAACTAAAGCAAACAGTCAAATAAAAAAAAATGTTCAAATATCACTTTATATTATATGCGATACCACATGATACAGGGTTAAATTTCTGGAACAATAGCATTTATCTAATTGGTATCCTGATTTGTGATTTTTGAAGCAAGTCTGAGAAGAATCACAAGAAACATTTCCGGTTGATTCTTATAAAGTTGACGAAAGATGCCGGGTTTTCCTGCCTCAATTCGGGCATAAGGCGGTTTAAATGACCAAACTGAAATCTTCTGACTTCAACGTAAGTAAGTTGGTCACATGAAATTTTGGTCACCGGAAATATGGTCACAGTAATACGGGCACAAGGTAATTCGGTCAACATTAATGAGGGCACAAACTGATGAATGGAAAATTGATCAACAATTTTTAAAGCAGATCGCACAGGAAAATCATGATCACCATAGGAACTTAGTGCAAGGTTGTAACTGTGACATAATCGTATTAATATAATATAATGTAACTTGAACAATTTAACACTCTAATCTGAAAATTGTTCACCATTAAGTTCACTGGTTTCACTGCTGGTTTAAATGCTGGGGTCTGGAAAAATTCACAATATCAAGCCAAGTCAACGAAAAATCTTTTTCTAAAATCAACAGATTTTCAAATTACAAAGCAGCATATGTTTTAAATGCTTTCCCCTTTTTCTCTTACATCTACCCTATGGAAGACCCTTCCCCGGGGATCTCCTTTTCCAGTCGCAAGATATTGCTTTTTTGTCATCACTTGCTATATTATAATAGTCCTAGAAAACCATGAATATGTAGTCTATGTTTTAAATGCAACGGTCAGGGAAAATTCACAAAATAAAGACAAATTAATTCAAAATCGAAAAACAGAAAATAGAAATTCATAGATAATATATATTTGTCAATAAATTAACATTTTATATCCATAAAAAGAAATTTCATAGCAAATCTTCAATAAAAAATAAATGTAAATCAAATTTTATAACAAATAAATCGATGTGGTTTTTAAGCGTATGTTTTGGGGTACTCGCAACCTTAACACAGTCTTTTTATAGTGAAAGAGATTAAGCCTATTTCTGTAGAAGACTAAACTTGTAAATATTAAACAATTGTTCGTGCGACCAGTTGGTTTGTCGCTATAATGTAACTTGAACAATTTAACACTCTAATCTGAAAATTGTTCACCATTAAGTTCACTGGTTTCACTGGTTTTACAGTTTGATTGATTGCTTCATATATTAAACTCAGTATAAAGTTTTAATTCTGATTGGATGAATATTCAAACAAACCAATCAGAAGTTCAGTATTTCAAATCAGAATCTACAATAATCGGACTCCGATGAGCATCAAACAGGCTGTGTGAACACTAATCTCTTCAATACTAAGGTGAACACTTTTCACCTATTCTGTTGTTCAACAGATTCAAATCTTTTTCAGTTAACTGCGCAGTTAGATCACACTGCTATTACGAAAAAAATTTAAAATATGGAACTTTTGGGGTAGGTTTTAATGATTGTATTTTATGAATTTGAATTCAGACCATTATATTTTAATTTATGTAAATGTCTCTCAAGAAGCTGAGCATTACGTTTCGTTGTTAATGAACTTCAAGTATATCTGTACATCGGCCCCAATGACACGGAAGCCTTTAGTTTGGGGAGTAGATTTATATGATCTTGATCTACATTCCACATCAAAATTTCATATTTCTTTTATTGTGTATAATACTGCATGACGTTAATGGTCATTATAAGCCCAGTTATTGTCTGAGCAAAGTAAAATGTTTTTTGAATTTTTCCTATTATTTTTAAGGGAATTGGAATATCAGCCTCAAAATATAACTGATAGTCTTAGAATGTCTTTGCGTTGATGAAAATATAAGCATAAGCACACATTATGGCTTCAAAATTTGTTTTCACAGAGGATAATATTTTCAGTCAAAATTTGTGACTTCTTGGGGATGAAATTTTTAAAAGAGAAATGGGTTTCTTTTCAATGTACAAATTTCATTTTTATCATAACGCTAAGAAATTCCAAGACTAACGGAACTATTTTGAGACTGATATTCCAATTCTCTTCGAAAATATCTTAAAAATTCAAAAAACTTTTTACTTTGCTCAGACAATAGAAGCTGGGGATTTGTATCTCAGATTTTTTTTCAAGTACAAAATCTAAATAATTTTTTTATGTCAACCCAAATGGAACAAAATAAAAAAAATATACGAAGAAGATAGAGTTTATAATTCAAGAAAAATATCGAAGAAAACACAGAATATAAGACAACTACTACCCATAGGGGATTGTAAGTGTGCTCTTATTCTAAACATGTCAAAAATTCATTATTAGTGATAGAAAACCACACCAACCACCCGAGATCAAATCACAATATTGAATGACCAATGTCTCGTACAAACAATCGCTAAAAGTGTACTTGCAAGAAACATTATACGATAGAAAGTATCTAAATAACTGTTCATAATCATAAAATTATTTAAACGTCTAGAAATTGGTCATTGAACAAAAAAAAAATCATTTCATTTGATTAGTCCAGTGGGTTGCAAAACTGTGAGACATATAACATTGTTGCAATGCATTTGCCCAAATGTTGACATATTTTATTCTGTTGCTTCTACTGTGTTATAGTTGCGTGATTTAAAATTTGTTTGAAAAAGGGATATAGATTCTTAAAATATATCCATACACATACAAACAGGATAGTATATTCTTATTTCAGTGATCGTATCCTGCGATATTAGTTAACTCGAAACAGACTTTAACTTGCCAACTTGTTCCTTAGAGATCCACAGAATAGAGAACTGTATTCAGGTAAGTGGTGAGATTCTTTCTTCAAAACTCAATACATTATTCAAACACAATACATCACACACACAAATCAATACATTATTCAAACACAATACATCATACACAAACTCAATACATTATTCAAACACAATACATCATACACAAACTCAATACATTATTCAAACACAATACATCATACACAAACTCAATACATTATTCAAACACAATACATCACACACAAACTCAATACATTATTCAAACACAATACATCACACACAAACTCAATACATTATTCAAACACAATACATCATACACAAACTCAATACATTATTTAAACACAATACATCATACACAAACTCAATACATTATTCAAACACAATACATCACACACAAACTCAATACATTATTCAAACACAAAACCATTATTTTATACGTATCCCAAACCCAATATCGTATACATGTACACATCTCAAACACAATGCGTAATTCAAAACAAAACACAATACATTATACATATCTCAAACACAATACGTAATTCAATACAAAACACAATACATTATACATATCTCAAATACAATACAATTAGGCATATATTAAACCCAATGCAATATACATATTTGACTATATTAATAACAAAATATTCCCACTGTTCAGAACGTTTGTTTAAAGAAGTGTACATAGGTTCATTAATGATGGAAAGCTTTTCAGTTTAACACAACGTTTGGTTTTAGCTCTGCTATCAATTGACCAGGATATTTTGTAGTTTCCAGTTTAAGTTGCCAAATGTGCTTCGGTGCTAGTTTAAAAATTACGATGTTTAAACGACTGCCTGTAGTTGTCAAATCTTGGTTTAAATGTGCTTTCAGTCAGTCCCTGATATGTTTTATGTTCATTGTG